TCCTGACCACATTTCCATTTTCTGAAAAAAATAGGGTTTATGACAGGTGGCATCAAAGATGCAAACAGTTGACAGCTTTGGCATGGATACCGGGGCATGAGACTGCATGGTACCTGGGATTTACTCTTACACAGTCATGGTTTACTTAATCCCTCACCTCCCTCGTTTGCCTGGCTTTCAGTGAGGGCCAATTTGCCTATCTCCCACTTTCCATGGGATAAAAGAAAAGATGAAAAATTCCAACTGAGCCTGCCTACAGTATCTGCCAGGTAGCCCTATCCTTGGAATAAGAGTGGTTGTCCTCACCTGTAAAAAGTGATTTATACTGAGAATATGAATGGCGGAACAATACACAGCTGGAGGATAATACTTAAATAGTGGTTCTGGTTGAAAAGCGAGGATGTACAAACGATACCATGTGTCTAGCAGAGCCTTTCCTTGTGTGCCAGACCTCATAGTGGGGGACTGTAACAGAACAAAGTTTTGCTGTCTTGTACATCTAAAACCACCAGAGAGTGGTGGTGGAGTCTGTGCCTTCTTGGTACCATGAGTATTTTGCTGAAATGAGTGAATTTATCTAAGCAGTTTGTCCATCAGAGCAGCAAGGCTGTGTAACAGTGGAGTAATAGCAGCGGGAAAACTCAGTCGGTGTTGGAAAAGCACAGCATGACCTGGGACTTCCTACAGTGATGGGGTTGGACTCGATGGCTCAGGAAGCCTCCTCAAGCCACACATCCCTGTCCTGGGATTGCAGAGGTACCTCTGAGAAGGTAATCCGGAGCCAACTACACCACATAAATCCGAGTCCCCCAGCAGACAGGTCCCAGCTCTCCTGTCCCAGGAGTTTTCAGGACCAGTTCTTTAGGAAGCCTTCTCCTGTCAGAGTTCCTCTTCATCTCCAGTTCTTCAGCGACAGCACTTTAAATTCAGTCTTTGCCTGAAACCAACTCAACTTTCCAGGAATAGAGGAGGGAAAGGTAGGGACCACTACAGAATCTGAAAACTTTGGTTCCTTAGTTTAATTCCTTGATTGGTTTACAGCCTTCAGAAAGACAACGGGTTTATTGCAGTTGACCGCTTTCAATTTTGCCATTATACTTTGAAGTCAGTGACAAAATTCCCAGTCATTTTTTTAGGACCAGGTTTGGGCTTGACGTTTTGATGTTGTTCTGTTTAGTTTTCAGAAACACGCAAAACCAATTGCCAAGCAAGAAGGCGAAGCTGACATCTGGCTTTATTGGGGGTTATTCCTTTGTGGGGATTAGGGTAAGAGAGACAAATGGCTATGCCACTTACCTTCATCTCTCGGCAGAAGCAGGAATCTGAGCTGATGCGGTAGCTGCGGTGCACTGAATAAAACTACTTGTGGATCTCCCTTTTAAAGGCTGGGAGGTCTGATTTGTGGTGTGGCAGAGGTTCATGCAGCCCTAGGACCGTGTAGCCCCATTTCGGTCCAGAATGGCATTTTTACCCCCACCCCACGTTGCTGGCTGAGCTGTCCTGGCGGCTCTCCGGCAGGATTGCAGTGCTGGAGCAGCACCAAGGAACGTCCTCAGGGATCAGGATCAGACTCATTTTATTTCTGTACGAGTTTTGTACCTTTTCTATGATTACTACTTAGATGTCTGGACCAGGTATGTTCACACTCTGCATGATTTTGCTGGTTTACTCCAACAGGGTACAGATCGTTGGTAAAAAGTCCTTTTAGACTGAGCAGAACCTTACAGTTTAGGTCCATATTTTTAAATGTGTGATTAAAAGACACAAGTTTGGTTTTTTTCTTCCTAAAATATTACCTAAAGAGCCAATTTAGCTGATACTACATTTTATGGCAAGATTCATTTACACATCACATCACGACGCAGTGTGAGCGAGGCAACTAAGATCTGGGCCATAGCCATTTGGAATCAGAGTTTACCATGTCTCTGATCTCACCACAAAATACTCAGTTAAAAATAGCCCAGTTGACATTGTAAGACCTATAAAGGCTCTGATCTAGCAAAGCACTCACATCTCTGCTTTACTGTGAAGTTCCGATTAGTCCTATTTAACACCATAAATTTTCCACTAACTTCAAAGAAAGTCCCACGCCAAAGTTCTTCCTTGTAGCAGGGCCAAAACTGTTAATGGTAAAAGTAGAATGTAGCGGATTTCAAATTTGTGAAGAGTTTAAAGGCTTTTAACTTCTGCTGTGTTAAAGAATTTATGTGAATTAATTCCTTAAGTTATTATAGAGCAATTCAATTAATAATGGATCTGCTTTTCATTATGACAAGTAATCAAGGATAAACATCTTCTATATCAAAGCTTATCTTTCAAAAAGGATAAATTAGCTGTAACGCACCTAACTACTTCCAGAACATGAAATGAACACGTATTGTTCCATTAGTTAATTTTGGATCACTAAATTAAAGACAGTTCAAAAGGAGTATAATCTCATAAGGATCTCTCTTTGTTCAGTCTGTTGTGACTTATTTCACGAGGTACAATAAATACTCTTTCTTGTCGGGCTAAATACTATTAGGGTTATAAAATGACTTTGTTTTAGTATATTTTATGCATCAGTATTAGTAATATACCACAAGGGTGAGAATTTTTTTTTTCTGGTATTTGCAGATGCAGTTTTGTACTCCTGCATATCTTGTAGGCTATCGAGATGCTTAATTAAGACTACCAAAAGCTCCACAATAAAACAGTTCAATGCAATAAATAAACAATAAAACAACATCTGGAATGTAACCTTTTATCCATGAAAACATTATGGATGTCTACGGACTAGTAAATTAATCCAGACCAGGACATAGACCTGTCATCATGTCTCCTGTTGAGTTAGCAAGCACACCTCCTGGCATGGTTTTGGCCAGCTAAGTACCCTCCAAGCAATGCCTGGACATGTTTGGGGTTAGGACTGGCCATCATTCATTCCCAAAGGCAGCTGTGATTTGGCCATCCTGTCCATGGAGATAAAAGGGAGTTTAGCCATCTTGGTGCAGCGTGCCACACAAGTTGTCCCCGAGACCAGAGAATCCCTTGACCTGTTTTATGTAGTAATATAGCTGTAGTTCTGAGGTACAGAAAATAAAGTAGTGTTTAAAATTTGATTCTACCTAGCGCTTGATGTAGTCCTTGTTTACTCAGACACTTAGGGCTTTTTACGGTATATAGCATAACCTCCTAAACTTAATTTACAAAAGTACAGTGGGTAACTATGCAAATAAATTCAGTGGCTGCAAAGCAAACTTCTTAGCATTTTTCAGTGGGTGTCTCCAAGGCTTCTGTGTTCTCAGAGAAGAGCGAGCACCAGTAGAAAAGTACCTTATCCTTCTTAAGCATCTTTAGTTCAGGTTGGGGCTTTTGCAGTCATGCAGTGTCAAAAAGCATCAGCCTCTTGAAAAAAGAAGTACTTTACTAAGTTAGCAGAGGTAGGATGTGTAAAGGAAAAATTATAAGGCAGACCATTGCCAGGAACGGTGCTGGGACACTCTCACGGAAACACAGGGAGATACTTGGGCAGATACTTCTGTGACACACAGAAGGAGAGACCCCAGACTGTCGCATCATTACTTCAAGGGCCTGATTCTGTCTCTCTGGCTGGTGCTGGCAGCGTTTGCTCCCCCTGTCACCGTGAAAATCAGTGGGATTTTCCTCGAAACCTCTAACTGTGAGTTAGATATAATTGTATTGAAGTGGGACCACAGGATGAGGCTGAAAGGAAGGTCAGGATGAGAGGGACCACGCTGGGAAGATAGTTCTGTATGGATATAGTCTTCCTCGCAGGAGGAAAGCTCACCAACTTTCCTTGCGGTGCCTGAGTATCTGCAGTGAGAGGTTGACCACGGATGGGTGGATAGATAGAAAGATTGCATGTGGATGATTATATGCAGAAAATGAGCTTCATTTCCTACCAGCTTGCACCTTGCATTATCTGTTCTGTATCAAAACAAAGGCAATGGGTTACGTCATGTAATTCAGCTACAGCACATCAGCTTTTTACAAGCAATTCCCCATCACCAAGCCTTCTCTTACGTTTCCACACTGCGTCTGGGGACTGACTACGTTTGTTTAAAGAAAAGCAGCTTAGCATACCCTGGTCTGCTTCTCCTGTGCTACTCTGACCTTTGCCAGTGCTTGAGCTTCCAGGTCCCAACACAAAGTGGCTGAAGGCAAAGCTTTTTCAAAGATGGGATCTCTTCCCCATGAGCATTCACTGCCCTTAGGTAGTCCCCTTGTGTTTGCTGAGCTGCCGGGGCTGCCCATTCACTCGGGATTTTGCTTGTAGGTGTCAGAAACCGCCACACTGAAATGTGCCTGCCCTTGAGATCCCCATGGCAGCATGATGGCAAGGTGCATTTTGATCTTTGAAACCATTTGATCCATTTTACAAATATATAGTCAGAAAGCAGGACTGGCATGTTTTCTTATTCTGGGTACCTCTGGCGAGACAGTACGGAGTAAGCGGCTAATGGATTTGTCATCCGTCGTGGTGCTGAGCGGCCTTGCTCGTCTAGGTTGCGGAGGTAAAGTCTTGAGAAGGATTTTTCGTTCCTTGACTAGATTTTTTTCCACAAGATAAATTTGGATTCCAATATGTCTGTCCCATATTAATTATATTTTTGATTGTGCCGTTCCTCAGTTAAACAGCTCATGGTGGGGAAGGGTCAATTTTAATTAATTGATGGGTAGGATTTCTCCTAATCCCTGCATTTTGGAAAATAGATATAAAGATAGTTGTTAGATAATGCTTTAAGAATTGCAGCATAGTGCTAAGGAATAATGACATAAAACTCTTAAGAACTAGAATGTATCAGGTGCACATCAAATCACATTATCTTCTAGTAAATTAATCTTGCTTTTTTTTTTTTTTCTTCCAGTTCCAAAGGATACAATCTTACGTTGTCCTGGGCTTGAGCAGTAAAGGAGAAATTTGATCACTGGCTGACTTGTCGTCTCTTCGCTGTGATGGGAAAATGGTCGCCTAAAATAACCCCCTTGTTATGCTGCTAAAACTGCTTTTGAATCCAAGATCTGTTGTGATTTTTACAACACAAACCCAAAAATGTCAGAACTCGACCCTTCATCTGGATTTGTAGGAAACATGGAAAACGGGACTTTTCTGGAGCTGTATCCCACATCCCTTTCAACTTCAGTGGATTCATCGCCTGGCCGTTTATCCAATGTCTATGTCTATGTTTCTATATTCCTTAGTCTCTTAGCTTTTCTCCTTTTGCTATTGATCATTGCACTTCAGAGGCTGAAAAACATCATTTCTTCCAGTTCCTCCTACCCAGAATATAATAGTGATGCTGGAAGCTCTTTCACTAATTTAGAGGTTTGCAGTATTTCTTCCCAGCGCTCTGCTCTCTCAAACCTTTCTTCATGAAGCTAAATGAAAGGAAATACATGGGGAATGGAAGAGCTTTGTCTAGTTTCTTGGGGAGGTAGTGCATGCAACATTTGCCTTAGAAGACTATTATGAAGAGGTGGCTTTTAAAGTTTCCTTAGTTTGTTTCTTTTTTTTTTCCTTTCCTTTTCTAGTCTTCATTTCCCCTTTTACTAATGTTCTTTTCCATTTTGGACAATGGATAATGACACTCGATCATTGTTTCATGCCTGTAATAGTGATGCTGTCTTTTTCTCACACATACATGGTGTTCATTAAGAGTATTCCTGCCAAATTATAATATGGTTCTAACTGGATGTGTCATTTTTCTGCTCTACTTGTGACCCCTTCCCTGGTTTTGTATCAGTAATATGCTTACTACTTTTCTTTTTCTTTTTTTAATTAGAGAAGGACTTCTGGATGAAATCCCTGTTGCAAAAGTATGAAAAAAATCAGCTTAAATTATAAATATTAGGACAATTTAAAGTTGTTGGCATTGTTTCTTTTTTTTTTTTTAACTTTCATGTCTTTTTCAGTATTTATTGATGTTTATAAAACACAACTAAAATCCGTTTCTTGAAGAATGTTGCTTTTGTTTATTTGCACTCCCAACTCGTTCTGTATAAAATATCTGTATTTCGGTTTTTGAGTCTCTTCGGTTAACTTAGTAAAGCGACTACAATAACCACGCTCACTGCTGAATGTGTGGAGGTATTTTTGGACCCTCTTGCCTCTCATTTGGCTAATGACTTGTTCTTCCAGGGGACAGCTTTTGCTGCTGAATCGTAAATATCACACAGCTCTTTCACATCCTTCACTGATGCAAATTCTTGCTGGAAACCAGTACAAACCAGTGGTTTCTTTTCAAAGATCTGCATACAACTACAGCTAGCAACTGAATAGCTCCTAAACTGTCCTTTAGGCACAAGATGTACTCATGTGAGCAGGGCCAGCAGGAACAGAAATTCCTTGTACTCATGAGGACTTTCTGGGCCAGATTTTGTCCTGTAATTTCACAAATGCACGTTGGGGTGGAGGGGGGACACGAGGATCTGCGTCATGGCCAGGCAGATCTGTGCTCTGACCCTCAGGAGGTACAAGGTGTACCTACAGAGGATCAGAAGGAAAAAGGCAGTGGCTCGGCCCCTTTTCCCCATCAGCATAAGAAAAAGCCAGAGATGAGGACGTGAGAAATGGATGATGTTCACAATCTCATTCCTCTTTGCGATGCCATAGTCTGGGTTATTCTTTCCCCCTGCCCAAAACGTAACCCAGCACTCAATTTCTGCAGTAAAATAACTAGCAGCATTGTGAACAGGATCCTGTGGTCAGCTGGGAATTAAATCAAGCCAAACAATCAAAGAAATTATTTTAAATGCCAAATGTGACCTGCTAGGACGGCAGCCCCACACTGTGCGGTGCAATTCCTTGCTGTCCTTACTGCACTATGTGAGCACAGTCCTGTCCTGCCACTCAAGTCCATGCAAATTTTGCTCTCGTGGCAGGATCCAAGTCACTGGAGAGACCCGAGGAAGGGTATGGAAATGTCACCGACATTTCTGTTGTTGGTGTAACAGCACACGTAGCTCTGGGCGATGGGGTGGTCTCAGCAGGAGCAAAGGGCGACTGCGCTCCCCACGCACGGCACTACTGCCCAGAAAGCCGACGGCTTAGGGAGCTGCGGAAGACCTCCCGACCAGATTTATTACAAATACCTTCCCACCAAGCTGTCAATGCGTTCATCAACAAGACACATTCCGCCATTAACTACACAGGCTTTAAAAGAGAACTTTGGAAAGCCTGGTGTGAATATAATCATTAGAAACGCAGCTGCTCAGTGCCAAACAACATACAGATGATGCTGGAGTTGGTGTTTTCAATTTTTAAAAGTGAACCTACAGTACGGTAAGTGGTAATGACTTCTGGTGGTGATTAGCTGCTTACAAAGGTCAAAGAACTTGCTGACTAATACAGGACTGAAGCCCATAGGTTCTCTGAGCCATTCCGTTTTGATGAATATATTTAATCTCTGCAGTATTTTATTCATCTAGACAAAAATGTCTTGTAAGTCACTTTTCACTGTAATTGATGATAGGCCTTGGGAAAAGAGATAACTATTTAAAAGGGATCAGAAAACGTTATTTCCTTTCTGAAAGCTCTTCTAAATCCCAGACCTGTAACAGAACGTATTTGTGTGTTGACTGCTGGATAAAAATAAATGAACTGTAAATCAAGATGGAGCAACTGTTCAATTATCTTCTTTTACTGACAAAGTTGTAAATTTGTTGCTTCCTTTGCTGCAAATGCAGGAATTTAGTCAAAACCAGAGATGAGACCACCGGCTGAGATGGGTATTTGTTCCCAGTGATATGTTTCCCATTACTAGTTTATGCTTGCAGATATAGAGACGTTTAATGTTAAATACAGACTGTTGAAAACCCATTGGCTTTGTTCATTGAGCTGCTGTCAAACTTCACAAGAGCAAAAAGTATTTTTCCAACTGCACAAAGTAGCAAAGGTAACTGAAACCACACATTTGATTTTGGTTTGTAGTTTACTAGATGCTATTAATTGTTTCCCACTCTGCAGTGACATATGGGACTATATACAGTCATCATGATTTCAGCTGAGTTGCACCTGTTCTCGTCAGGACAGATTTGAGTAGAAACAAATTGGATTCAACACAATAGCATCAGGAGAAGCCACAGGCGAAAAGCACCATGGCATTTTCGAGGATTACTAAGTACTCGTTCTTCAAGGAAAAAAAAAGGAACAAAAAAAAACCCCAACCTGCGAACCTGAGATTGAGTTAACTTGAGAACACTGGAACAGGCTTCATGGAGAGGTCGTCAATGCCCCATGGCTGTCAGTGTTTAAGAGGCATTTGGACAATGCCCTTAATACCATGCTTTAACTTTTGATCAGCCCTGAAGTGGTCAGGCAGTTGGACTAGACGATCGTTGTAGGTCCCTTCCAACTGAAATACTCTATTCTATTCTATTCTATTCTATTTGAACTAGAGTTGCAGGGATTTTCCACCATGGTAAATGGAAAAACAGATTAGATTCTTCATTTTCATAAAATTTTTGTATTTTCTTTCTCTCCTCTCTGTTTCCCCTTCTTTCTGTCACTCACACACCAAACAGACCTGGACAGGATGGAGAAATGGGCAGAGAGAAATCTCATGAAGTCGAGCAAGGGAAAATACATAGTCCTGCACCTGGGGAGAAAGAATCCCAGGCACCAGCACAAGCTGGGGGCTGATCAGATGGAACACAGAGAGGGAGCTGAGGGTCCTGGTAGACACTAAATTGAACATGGGCCATCAGCACACTCCTGCTGCAAAGGAGGCCAGGAGCATCCCAGGCTGCGTTAGAAGGAGCGCTGCCAGCAGGTCGAGGGAGGTGGTCCTTCCCCCTGCTCAGCACCAGTGGGACATCTGGATTGCTGTCTCCAGTTCTGGGCTCCCCAGTAGAAGACAGATGTGAAGCTCCTGCAGTTAGCCCAGTGCAGGGCTACTAAGATGATGAAGGGATTGGAGCATCTCTCATATGAGGAGAGGCTGAGAGAACTGGAACCGTTTAGTCTAGAGAAGGCCCAGGAGGATCACATCAATGTATATAAATATCTCATGGGAGGGAATGGAGAAGAGGGAGCCAGGCTCTTCTCAGTGGTGCCCAGTGTCAGGACAAGAGGCAATGGGCACAAACTGAAACACATGAAATTCCAGCTGATCATAAAAAAAACATTTTACTGTGAGGGTAGTCAAACACTGGCACAGGTTGCCCAGAGAGGCTGTGGAGTCTCCATGTGTTGACCTGGGCAACCTGCCTGCAGCTGACCCTGCTTTGGGCGGGAGAGCTGGAACAGATGATCCTCAGAGGTTCCCTATCCATGCTGTGATTCGTGTCAGTGCAAAAATTCAGCAGCTTCTAGTTCGCTGTCTCCTCCCGATGTGTTTTCTCATCTCTAGAGCTGAGTAAATATCTTTACTAGAGGGTGAATTATTCAATAACTTGTTACTAAAGAGTTGCTCTGTTCCTTCTCCTGCCTGCAGCCACACGCTTTTCCACCGCCTTTTTGTGGCATGGGTTCACATTGCACAGTCAGTTTTTGCCCTGAGCCCCTTTGGTTTTTACTAAGCCCTCTGACTGCAACAATGCCATTAGTTTTGGTAATATATGACTCCAAGACTGCATGGCTTCAGGTAGTTGCAAAGTATACCTGGAAATCTATAGAAAGAAAAATACCAATAAAGCATGGATAAGGAAAGAAGAGACGGAGTTTCTGGATCACATAGAAAAAATATTTTGCTTTAGTTCAACAAATACGGTCTATTTAAGTGTTATTTAATCAGTGAGTATCTCATGAAGGCTGTAGCAGCCTCTATATCTAAGATGCTCTTGCACTGCTGGCCACCTTGGCCCTACTGCCAAGTTAACCCACCATGGTCGCCCTCAACATTACCAAATTATTCACACTTTTCACTTAGCAACTCTGTGGAGAGTTTATTCCATTGAATTAATTTTCTGCTTTCAGCCCTTCTCAGTCTGCCAGCTCACCTGAAAAGTCTCTGTAAGCTTAAAGTTTTGTCTGGATTCCCTACAAATATATTAATTTGGGAACAATTCTTCCTCCTCTTCCATACAGCTTGTTCACCCTCCTCTTTCACTGTCTAACCCTGTGGTACTCTGGCGATGCTGAATCCCCATGGAGCATCATGCTCCCCTGTACTTGAGCTTTTTTTCCTTCAGAATCTTTTTTTTTTTTTTCCGGTGAGATCACTGGGAAAGACATCTGTGTGGGAAGGTTATTTACGAAGTCCATACACCTCCCATTCTTCCTGACAGGACCATTTTCGCTGCATCTGTTACGGTTGTCTAAGGAAAAAACATCGTGAATTACAGCCCAGCTGCTTCCCCGGCTGAATGACCTTTTCAGGTCCGCAGCCCCTCGTATGCTCCCAAAGACAACAGCCTCACTACGTGGCTACAGCACAGGATTACATGTCCCAAATTCAGGGTGCAAAAGTAGCCTGAAGTCCTTTTTTTTTTCTTACTTTTGCCTATGTCTTTGGCAGAACACAGAGCAGCCCTCAAGCTGCTTTACACTAAAGGAACTACGTGATACCAACCAGGCCGATGTGCAAACGGGACCCACCCGCAATCACAGCCCCACTCTCACACCGTAACTCCATAAAGCTCCTGACTTTCTCAGACCACCAATAAGTGGGGTGCCCCAAACTGGTCAAGATGCTGTCTCAGACTGGGGCTTGGCCAGGGACACTTTGCTGATGCCAGCTGAAGGTGTTTTCACACCTTCTCCCAGCACTGCGCTTTGGAGATAAAAGCAGCATCAGCCTCCTGCCTGTTCCCTTCCAAGGCTAG